GCGTAGGAAGTGGGGTGGGGCCGGGAAAAAAGAACGTCCTACACAGAGAGGACAGAATGAGCAAGCACATAAAGTGCCGGCGTGTTTAGGAAGCTACAAATAGTCTTCTGCGGTTGGAGTGTGTGGTTAGTGGGAAGAGGGCAGCGGAAGAGGAAAAGGCCTTGCAAGCTGTGTCAGGGGTTTGAGTCTTATCTTGGAACCTGTGAGGAACCACCAAAGGCTTTAAGAAACAGAATGATACAGCTGCATTTGCATTTTAGAAAAGGACCACTCTATCAATGGATCGTGAAGGGAGGGCGGGAGGGCAAGCAGCCGGAGATGGTGCGGCACTTGTATGCCAGCTGCGTGACACTGGGCAAGCCACATCACTTCCCTGAGCCACAGATACCTCATCTGTCAAACAGGGGTGTAGAGCTGTCCAGAGGACTAAACGAGATAATGTGCAAGAAGTGCTTACTACAGTGCCTGACACTTAATGGACACTCAGTAAATCATAATTTTTTTTTTTTTAAGTCAGAGAGCCTACCAAAAGGGCTATAGCAATCTTCTTGGCAAAAGGTGGAGAGAGGCTGAATTCAACCACTGACTGGGAGGAGAGAAGAGGACACCAAGAGCTATTCCAGACAGTTAACCTTGGGTGGGAGTGGGCATGGGTTCTTTCTATACATCTTTTGGAGTGCATCTCTGCCTTCTGTCCTCAGGCTCTGCCCTGTGACTCCCTTCTTCCTCATCAGCCTCCCGGTGTGTGTTCATCTGAGGTTCATCTAGAGTGTGTGTTCATCTGAGGTTGCCAGCTGTGGAGGGACTAGGGTGATTATTAAGGGCTAAGACCCCAAAGCCATCACATGGTGTGACAATCTTTCAGTGCCATACTGACCTGGGGAAAGTGGCTAATAGTGTTCAGTGGTCACCTACTAGTTTCCTTCATTGGCACATCCCTCTATAAAGCAGTCTGGTTCAGATGTTAATTTAAAAATGTTAGTTTGCATTTTGGTTTTCCTTGAATTTCTGTCCCCCATTCCAGGGAGATAACTCAGCCCTTTGGATCTTCTTGATTTCTGTGGGGTAGAAATTTTTATTTTAAAATCGCTTGAAGATAACCGCTTAAAATGTCTTCCATGAATGCCTGACTATATTGGAGAGATGACATCAGGTGTCCCCAAGATGCCGTTGAGCAAAAGGAAAATAAGGAGAGAGCAGGGGTAGGAGGAGCCTATACCCGGCACGGCCTGGAGGGGTTGAGACCCTCGCCTGGGCATTGCTGTGGGGAGGGGACAGGCCTTCAAGGGGACTGGTCACACTGTGCACTGGGCATGCCGGACCCTGGGCAACAGCTCTGCCATCCTGGGCAAAGATTCCCCGGGCCCCAAGGAAGCAGTAACATCAGCCAAATCAGAGGTCTCTGGGGCTCTGGACAAGGAGGAGACAGATCAGCATGACATGGTGGGTTAGCCATGGGAGGTCCTTCCTTACCCTGCCTCCTGGACTCTAAGAAGCAAGTTTCCAGGACTCCTGAGTCACCCTGGGGAGGGGAAGGCAGCCTCAGTTATCAAGGCGATTAAATTCCTTGCCAGCCAGTCAGGATGGGGCTCTGAGTTGGATTTGGGTTGTTTTAAATTTTTTTTTTAAATAGGACCTCTTTTGCCCACCTGGGATTGTGGAGGACAATTCATATCTTCTACTGTAGCCAGGACAGAGGTCTGTAAGCCCTTCCTGTGACCATTCTCCACAGGAAATAGCACAGTAAAGAGTCAGGACTTGGGAGCAGAAATCCCACAGTCTAGTTTGGACCCTACTGGTGTAGCTGGGGCATGCCATCTTCCCTATGTCTCACCAGCAAAGTGGGAATACAGCTGCTTCACTCAAAGGAAATGCCACAGAAGAGGTAAATGCTCTATGGCTTTAGTGAATTATTAAATGCAAGGGACCCTCTTCTCCTCCTTTAGATCTTCCTTCCTTTGGAGCTGAACCTAGAACTTCAGAGGGTGAGACTATTCCCTCTCTTTAGAAACACATGGGCCAGAGCTTTGGGCTCTGAGATTTCTGATTCACATGAGAATAAACACAGAAGGTGTCAAGTAAAAAGGTTTGTGTGCCCCTTAAATCCACTTACCTACCCAGTGGCTGCAGCCACAGCGGGAAGACCTGGCTCTACCTCTAACTCTCTAAGCTTCAGCAAGTAGCCTGATCTCTGGAAAGTACACAGAACAAGGAAACAGCAGACTTGGTTCTGATTCTGACTCTTTTACTTACTGGGTGTCATTTAACCTCATCAAACAAGTTTTCTCAACTCTGGAATAAATAAAGGGGGGCAGAATGAAAACCAAGAAGAGCACTTCCAACTAGAAATCCTCAGTATCCCTGTCAATACAAAGGGAGATTAGCACAGTTCTAAACATCCTCCTGCATCATCCTGTCCCTCTGTCCCTGTTCGTGAGTTGGGGGGAGGGATGCAAAGCTGAGCGGAGTTAGTCCCTGCCCTCCCCCTGCCCTCAGAGCTTTTCAGGACCAGCTGCCCTTTCTGGCCTCCACTACCCTGAGCCTGGGGGCCAGAGGTACATAACGCATGTGGAGAAATTGAAGAGGCTGGGAGTGCAGGGATGCCTGATGGCCCCACTCTGCCCGGGCCCACCCGAACAGCCCCAGTGAGCTCACGTCTGCAGTAACCTCACTGCTCATAACTGGATGGTGAGACAAACCTGGAAGCCAGGCACAGGTGAGGAGTGATGGATGTCTCCCCAGGAATGTGCTGCCCAATTAAAACTGCCTCCCCAATGGCTCTGGCGGATGCTGGGACGACTCCCCGGGGCAGTGCTGGCGAGCCTCCAGGCTGAGTTGTTCTGTAAGCATTTCTTGAGGGCCTACTATGCACCAGGAATGGAGCTGGGTTATGGGGAGACACGGAGGAATAAAAGCCACATTGTAGAGTACAGTCTACGTGTCCCAGATATACTTTCGGAAGCAGATTGTCAGAGAACCTTGAGGGTTCTCAAGGGTTCTGCTGGTGAAGCCCCCAGATCCCCTTTCCAGACCCCCATCAACCCCAAGACCTGCTTCTTCCCAACCACAGGCTCCAAGCCTGTTGTTTGTCTCTCCTTTCAAATCATTCACAGTCCTCAATCCTCTGCCAGGCTCCTCTTCCCCTTAAGCTGTATGGATCAGGCTGCTGCCTCCTCATTTTCTCCGCCTCTAGAACAGTCTGGACAACAAACTGTGGTGTCCATCCACAGTGCAGGGGGTCCAGTACAGGCCACTAAGTGAGGTGATGTCCATGTGACTAGAAAACGAGCTCTCAGTAGAGGTCATTCACCTGGTGAAATGCCTGTCAGAGGCAGGTCCTCAGGCAGTCTGACTTGGAAGACAGGCCTCAAACAGACCAGGGCCTCCCTCTTTCAGAGAGCATGTGCCCTGAGGGCTGACATTGGAAGAGGACAGAAACCTAACCATGGCCTTCAAGCTGTGTGGTTAGTCAGTCTGCTTGTGTTAAAATCTAGTCTTTCCCCTTTACTAGCTCTGTGTCTGAAGTTGCTAGGATTGCATCCCACTGTGAGAAAGAAACACCCCCAAAACAGGCTTACACAATTTTTAAGGGTTATTTTTCTCATAGATGAGAATTCAGAAGATAAGCAGTCCAGGGCCTGATCATGGCTTCAAATATCATCAGGGACTCAGGCTCCTTTTACCTTTCTAACCAGCCTTCCTCAGTATGCATTTCTTGCCTTGCAGTCACAAGGTGGCTGCCCCATCTCCAACATCAAGTCCAAATTCCAAGCAGGAAGAGGAAGGTCAAAGGACCAGTTGAGCCTCCATCCCTTTTAAGGAACTATCCTGGAAGTTCCACACAACTTCTCACACATCATTGGCCAGAACAGTGTCACATGGCCACCTCTATCTGCAAGAGAGGCTGGGAAATGCATTTTTAACTGAGCATTTGCTGTTCCCAACAATAACAGATTTGTTAAAATAAGGAATATAAACTGGTATACAACTAGCGATGAGAGAGATTTCAGGAAGGAGAAGGCGTGGGCCAGAGGCGCGAGAGGGGAGCAACGGCTCCCCATCGCTTCTGACTGAAGGTTTGGTGGGCTGATGGCGACCGGCGGCTGGGCAGGCGTCCACAGTAGCAGGAGCATCATTCCTCACGGGGGCATGAGGAGAATACGGAGGTGGCAGAAACCTGCGAGGTCGCCAGCGTCGGACTCCATCACCAAGGAGGCCCCTCGTTCATGTCTTCCCCGGCATCCCCTTGAGTAACTCGGCCGGCTTAGTGTCTGCCCTCACTTCCTTCTGCTCCAGTCTAAGATCGGCCCGGCAGTACACACGAAGAAACCCACCCACGAAAACGCGCTGTCTAACCTCTCGTGTGTGCTTCTTTGCGGAGGGCTGGGGACCGGGAGGCGCTAAAGCACGACGAACCCACTGCCCGGCGCCTCCCGGCACGTCGGTGGCGTGCAGAGCTCGGCCAGGCCGCTCCCGCGGGACGGCGCCGGGAGCTTTCCCCGTGCCGGGCTGGCGGCCCCTCCCGCGCGCGCCCTCCGCAGCGCGCTTGTCCACAGTAGCGGGGCGGGCTGCGGTGGCGCGTGCGTTCGCTCCCGGCCCGAGGGCAGTGCTGGGTGGCGTGCCTGTCTCTACCCTCAGCGTCTACGCTCAGAATAGCGGAGAACGGCCTCGGTAGCCGGCGCCGCCTTCCTCCTCCCGCGGCAGACAGACGTTCTGCTCCGGAAACCTGACTCCAGCCTCCCCCAACGAGCGTTTCTGGGGAGCAGCGGAGCGTCACCCTCTCTCCACGGACCACCCCCGCCCCAGCCGCGCCGGACGCCGCTCTCTGTCGCCCTCTACCAGCGCCGAGGGGACGCGACAGCTGCGCGGCGGAAGGGCAGGCCCCCTGAGCTACGAAGAGCGCACGCGCGAGCGCACGCGGCGACATCCCCCCAAGCCCGCTAGCCATTTGGCGCCTGCGCAGCAAGCGCGCGCGGGTCCAGGGACTGGAGAAGCAGGTAAAGCCCCTGAAGCACGCAGGTGGCCGGGAGAGCGGCCCGGAGAGGAGCAGCGAGGAGTTCGTGCCCTGCAGGTGTCCGGGACGCCGGCGTTTGCTCCCTCCTGGGCGACTTTGGTGGGCTCGGAGCACCGCTTTTTGCCAGGGGGCGTGACCCGAGCCCGCCTCTGGGGGCTGGGGGGGATCGCTAAGGCCTGTTATTAATTTGGTGCCTGTTGTTCGTCCAGGGAGGTTTTCTTGAGGAGAAGTTTGCAAATACTGGAGAGGAGGGAGCGAGCCTGGGCCCGGTGGGAGCTGGGGTGCCCCGAGTCCCAGGGCGGTGGGGAGCTGGGCAGGTTGGCAGAAGGCAGGCTCCATTCCCCCGGCTGTATGTAGGGGGTGCCAGGGGAGTGGGGAGCACTGGTACAAAATGAGGGTCCCAGTAGAAATTGTGCAGGTGTTGAGATCACACTCAGGCCGGCGACTTGTCGTTTGTGTGTTTTCACTTTTCTCATAGAAAGAAGCGATTTCTTCACTTGTGGCCCGGTGTGGACACTAACATGTACTCACTTGCCTGTTTTTATCCTAGGACATGACACAAGTGGCACATTACGGCCATGGGGTCTCAGCATTCTGCCTCTGCTCGCCCCACCTCCTGCAAGCGAAAGAAAGATGACAGGGAGGATTTTTTGGCCGAACGAGAGCAGGAAGAAGCCATTGCTCAGTTCCCATATGTGGAGTTCACTGGGAGAGATAGCATCACCTGCCTCACGTGCCAAGGGACAGGCTACATTCCAACAGGTGAACATCTTTGGTGATCAGGGAAGGGGTGATTCGCTGACAAGAATCCCACAGTAGCCACAGGGGTTCTCATGTCTGCCCAGGCATAGCTTTTCTTCTAGGCAGTAATACCATATAGTCACAGACAGTGCCCCGAGCAGGAGCCAGCTCAGCTGACCTGATAAACTTGGGCAGATTTCACAACTTCTCTTGGTCTCCTTATAGTTTGAAACCCTTTCTCTTCTTCCTTTCCACTCTTTTTTTTTTTTTTTTTTCCTCTCTCTTTTTGTGATTTGGAACATTCACTTTGCTCTGTGTTGTAGGATTTGTTGACAGGTGCATTTCTTTATTGCTTTCGCTCATAAGGACGGGCACAGCTTTTGGGTGAAGGGGTTGTTGCTCAGACTATCTTGGAAGCTTCTTTTCGAGGAAGCAGATAGTGAATCATTAACAGCCTAAGGTCTTAAAAATGTATCAGGTGGGGAGAGAGAAACATGCTCAGGGGTGGAGCCTGGATTAGGAACAGGATCATCTATTACTAAATTGACCTCCAGAAAGTCTTAACAGTTTAGGTAAGAACCTTAGAAACCATTTACTCCAAAGCCTTCGTTTTAAAGTTGAGGCAACTGAGGGGCTTGAGAGGTTCGATGACTTTGCCAAGGCCATACAGTAAAGCCAGAACAAGATCCCAGATTTCTCAACTTCCATGTCACTGCCCTGGCAGCACTGATAGATGTTTCATAATATGTGGCACTCTGTAGATTTACTTGTTAGACTCAAAATGTAAAACTAGTGTTTTTAAAAATGTCTAATTCCAGATAAATATTTGCTGTGGCAGTCTGTAGTGAGATGTAAAGGAAAGTACTGCCAACACATGGGGTTTATAAAATAATTGTTTGATTCTTTTCTAGAGCAAGTAAATGAGTTGGTAGCTTTGATCCCACACAGTGATCAGAGATTGCGCCCTCAGAGAACGTGAGTTACCTGCCTCTCACCTGTTAATACCTATTTCTGTTTCTAGCCCCTTTTTATATATATGAAATCCAGTTAATTCTTTGAAACAACATCTGTTCATGTAAATTACCCATTTCCTTTATTACTATTTGCCTGAGCAAGGTATCTCTGCCCCCATCACAATCTGCAGAAAGAAACTTGAAGCTAGAAATGTTCTGAAAGCCAATTGAAGGAATGGCATTGGCAGAAATTGGAGAAGGGGAAGGAAGGTTCTGGGAGGAGAGGAAATATCTTTGTCCACACAGCTTCTCTGTCCAGCTTCTCCTCCCAGAGTGCAAACAGCGTTAAAACAGGTTTAAAAAGGCCTCTCCTGCTGCACTCCTTCTTGTCTGGTTTGTGGTTCTCGGCTCTTTGTACTTTCCTTTAACTCTTCTTTCATTCCTGGTTTTGCATTTATTTATTCATTCACTTATTCATTTATGGTAGCTGGCTGATATGGTGATCCAAATTCTTGACCTTGGTGTTATAACACCGTACTCTAACCAACTGAGCTAACTGGACTGGTTTTGCAGTTAATCTTGACTGATTGGACTTTGATCTGACTGTCTGGGTCGGTCATGTGCTGTGTCATTTGCAGTAAGCAGTATGTCCTCCTGTCCATCCTGCTCTGTCTCCTGGCATCTGGTTTGGTGGTTTTCTTCCTGTTTCCACATTCAGTCCTTGTGGACAATGACGGCATCAAAGTGGTGAAGGTCACATTTAATAAGCAGGAGTCCCTTGTAATCCTCGCCATTATGGTAAGACTTAGGGCCTCAATTTCTGAGTTATTTACCTGAAAGGCTTAGACCCTGGACACTTACACCTGTTTCCTTATTTGTCCTGATGCAGGCCACCCTGAAAATCAGGAACTCCAACTTCTACCCTGTGGCAGTGACCAGCCTGTCCAGCCAGGTTCAGTACGTGAACACAGTGGTTGGCACATATGTGACTTCTAACGTCTCCCTCATTCCACCTCGTAGTGAGCAACTGGTATGCTGTTCTTTTAGGAACCTTGCCCCACGGATTCTTTTAAGAAAAGAGTGGGAGCTCTGGGAATGCTATAGCTGTTACTTTCTGTTTCTTCTCATTTCTACTTGTAGGAACTAGTTGATGAGGAAAATCTGAGAAGCTCTGTAATTATGAAAAATTGTGTGTGGGATGGGGTGGGGGGAAACCAATTAGCATTCAAGTATTTGGGGAGCAAAAGAATTTGCAAGAGAAAGAGGCTGTATTATAGTCTGAGGTCCACTGGCCTCTCTAAAGGGAAGAAGTTTGCAAATATTTATTAGAGACTCAGACTGTACTAGGTATAATCTTGTGAAAATATTTTGTGTGTGATGGAAGAATGATCCAGGGTCTTTGGACTGATAATCATAGTATTGTTCTATGTCAAACCTGCTGGGCCACAGACTGACTCTGATGCCTTATTTGCAGGTGAATTTTACCATGAAGGCTGAGATGGGAGGACCATTTTCCTATGTATAGTAAGGACATGTTCTCTATATTTGTGCTGTCTACTGGATGAAAGGGATTCAAAGTCGTACTCAATTGATTGGGGCTTGGTCCTGCCTTAAGTCCCAGCCTTTGGCCTGTAGGTTCCCTACCTTTGGTTGTCTTGAGATTTATTTGGAGCATGTGTCATTTGATATGTGACTAAAGAGCTGGAATTTCTGAAAGAGAACCTTAAGCCACCAGAATCATTACCAAGCTGCAGTGTTTGTATGATGGGTTTGAAAAAACAGATAGTATCATGATGTGAGAGGATGAGAATGACACTTATGGGGACTCAGAAATAGCCTTGCAGTGCTCAGGTCAGAGGGGTGGTGTTGGGGAGGCGAGGCACCCTAAACAGGACTGACGGCTTCTCATTTTGATAGTATAACTCAGCACTCTTCTACTCATGCTCTTTTCTTAAAAAAAAAAAACCAAACTAACCGTTTTCATATTTGCCATTTGGTAGCTTCTTCTGCACAATACCTGAAATCCTGGTGCACAACATAGTGATCTTCATTCGGTACGTCACCCTTTTCCCTATCCCGATGGCCTTGGTGTTTGAGCCTGGACCATCAGGTTATGCGAGCTTACCACCTTTGCTCAGAAGATCCCTATGCAACCCACAAGGCAGAAGCATCGGGCCAAGGAGGGAATGCCTTGCAGGCACAGATACAGTAGACCCTTGGTGTTCTCTAGATGCAGTGTCCATATCCCCTTCACAAGTCACCAGATTCACAGTGAACAATTGAACACTACAGATACTCCTCAATTTACAATGAAGTTATATCCTGATAAACCCATCATAGGTTGATAATCTCATAAGCCGAAAATGCATTTAACACACTAAGCTACCGAACATCATAGCTTAGCCTAGCCTACCTTAAATGTGCTCAGAACACTTACATTAGCCTACAATTGGACAAAAGTATTAACACAATGCCTGTTGTAAATAAAGTGTTGAATATCTCATGTAATTTATTGAATACTGTACTGAAAGTGAAAAACAAAATGGTTGTGTGGGTACTCCAGGTACACTTTCTACCAAATGCATTTCACACCATTGTAAAGTCAAAAAATCATAAGTTGAGCCATCATAAGTCAACAACTATCTGTAATTTTCTCCATGAAATGGGATTTAGTTTAAGTAAACACATTGTGATCCCTTTAGAATCCTAATGAGACCGGTAATGAGCAGAAAAGCCTTCTTAAGGTGTAAGTACTCAGCATTTGACCAGACTGACTTTCTTGCCACACAAATTACCACGTCATGGTCCTTTGGGGTTATTCCTAGAATCATGACTGTTAAATTTTCGGGTACAAGGATCTGCTGTGATTATTTGAAATATGAGAGGTTAGAGCAGGGTTTCTCAGCCTTGACACTATTAACATTTTGAGCTAGACGGTTCTTTACGGTAGGTGGGGCTATCCTGTGTATTGTGGGATATTTAACAACCTCTCTGACCTCTACCTAAATAGATGCCAGTAACACCACTCCTTCTGCCCTTCAGTTCTTCCTTTATTTATTTTTTTTAAAAGATGACCGGTAAGGGGATCTTAACTCTTGACTTGGTGTCAGCACCACGCTCACCCAGAGAGCTAACCGGCTATCCCTATATGGGATCTGAACCTGGGGCCTTGGTGTTATCAGCACCACACTCTCCCAAGTGAGCCATGGGCCGGTCCATGCCCTTCAGTTCTAACAACCCAAAATGTCTCCAGACATTTCCAAAAGTCTCCTTTGAGGTAAAATTGCCCCCAGTTGAGAACCACTTATTTAGAAGGTCGCCTCATGGCAGAGCATCTCCGTGGATGCAGAAAGACCCTCTGGCCTCCTGGTTACATAACCATCAGGCTGTGTACCTGGGGCCCATGGGTGTTGTTGCTGGAACTTGCAAGAAATTATTTGGGCAATTTTTCTTGCTTATTTCATCTCAAAAATGGAACTAATTCTTCTTGGTTTTCTTTTCCCTAGAACTTCAGTGAAGATTTCATACATTGGCCACATGACCCAGAGCTCCTTGGAGACACATCAGTATGTGGATTGTGGAGTAAATTCCACAGCTATTTAGCAGCTCTCTTGGTTCTTCCATGGCAGCACCTGTAGAAGAGAGCACAGCATTTGTTTCCAGGGCCTGAGTTGCCCAACTATCCCAGGTGGTACAAACAGAGTAGGAATTGGTTCTCCTGACTCCCAGCAAACATCCTCCTGCCACTTAGGAGGAAACTTCTCTCTACAGCACCGTTTATGCTTCTCAGAACCAGCAGAATCACTGCCTAGTGCCTAGCCTGTGCCCAGCAAATAGTAGGTACTCAATAAAGGTTTGAAGAATTCAGATCTTTTCAGCTGTTCATTGGGCATTATAAATTGAAATCATAGCATAATTCTATGTTATCAGTACATGGAGATAGGACTGTTAGTGCAGCTGCAGACTGTTACTGGTGCCTCTCCTGTCCAGAAGTAGCAGCAGGGGGACTATTTGAATACCCAAAAGAAGAAAGCACAAACCCATTCAATATGTGAAGGAGCTTTTTAAAAAGAAAAAAGAAAAAAAAGTGTTTTTTGCTTTTTGTTTTTCCTGTAGAAAGTTACAATTGTTTTTACAAAGAGTCTGTGTGGGGCTTGATTTATCTCTGTCCACTGGCTGGAACATGGATTGGGGATTTGACGGAAAAATAAACCCTGTTTTTGATTCATCTGTGTCTCCTCTTTTTGCCTGGATGTCAGCTCTGAGGGACTGTAGAATAGTTGACTGCTAAGTAGATCAGGATGGGATGGGAAAGAAAGGGAAGGAACTCTATTCCCTGACCCCGTGAGCTCCTATCACCCAAGCAGTCTCCCTTTCTCTGTCTGAGTCAACGAGCTGCCTCATTCCAGAACAGAGCACTCAGTGCCCCCTGGAGGCTGGAAGAGGCAGGGCAGAGGTGTTTGAGGAGTAACTCCCCACCCCCGCCCCCAGTTAGCTTTAGTCTTTACTGAGAGGATCTGTTTTCAAAGTTTTTTGACCTGGCTTTACACTCTCTGCCACTAAAGGGTGAGTTACAGCTTCAAGATGGCAGAGAATCTAGTTGGGAAGCTTGAGTAGTCAGGTTGCAGAACTCAGCTGAGATGGGCTCCAGCTCTTTCCACAGCACTGGCACTTCAGGAAGCCCTGTCAGCAACATGTAGTGGCAGAGGTTGTATGTCAGTTTTTGTCCCCATTTCCATAGCTTGGTTTTCAATATTTGCTTAATGATTTTTATACTCTGAGTCTTCAAACTAAGGCTAAATTTCATGACTGGCTGGCTGACTGTGATTGAGTAACTCAAAAGCTGAGGATTGAAAACCGAGTTTCAGTGTTCCATTGGATCGTGTAGTGCTATGTGTACACAGTAGTGGTGACCACAATATGGATTGATGATGGAACATCCCCAGTTGTACAGAAGCAAGTGGAACCATTTCTGAGAACATTGCTGTGAGCAGAACACGCCCTAAACACATGGAGGTGTTCACGTTGCTACGTTTTCTCTGTAGTTCTCTCATTCTCCAAATAACCTCTGTAGCCTATTTTTCATATAATTTTGAAGAAGCTGCTCACATTGGTCCTTCAGTTTTGAGTCATTTTTTGTGACATGTGCCTCAGTAACATTTCTGGCTCCTTGATATTAAAATACAGTTATGATATTAAAGTGAGATTGCTTAACTTTTTAAAACCTACAGCAATGAGTCTGATCTCATGATGCTAAGAATTCTCATGCCCATTTATATTCTTAGCTTCCCAAACTGCAGTTTAGGATGCTCTGCATAGTTTTATGGTATCTGTCAGTTCTTGAACTAATGCCTAGAATTTTCTCTCAGTGGATGGTTCAAGTGGTGTGACAATCACCATTGTGTTTGTAGTGGGTTGAAATTTGCAAAGAATGTGTTTCTTGGGGATGAGGCTTGGTTAGAGATCTTCTCGATAGCCTCCGTCTTGGCCAATGCTGTGACCTGTTTCTTGGTCTCAGACTGCTTACGCCAGGTCACCTGGTCGAACAGTTGCTGCATACAGAAATCTCCATTCACTTGTCCATTTAGTCATTCCAGAAAAGTACTGAGCACTTGCCGTATGCTAAGGATTGCAATTTCTAATGTGTTTTGTCCAGAGTAGAAGTTTAAAACACCATCACTAAGCCTTTATGTTCACCAGGTTTACCTCCACCAAATATTCTGTAGCCCTGGTTACCGCAAAGCAGTATCCCCAAGATCTCTGGGTCAACTATCCAAGTGATCCTAGCCCAAAGTGTAAAACAAGTTATTAAAAGAGTCAGCCTATTTATTAAGAGCTCTACACTAGTCGATAGGGTCCCAAATATTTTCTCTGGGCAAAATAAGCTTTATTCTTTGCCTTTATAAGTAAAATTCTTTATTGTCAGCACACTTTTAAGATTCTGTGTGACTTCCCTTGTTTAGAAGGGGAATCTATTTCAGAAGTTGTTGTGTGATTTACCCAGGATCCAAGGGACTCGAGAGTAAGTCTTAGCTGGTGCTCAGACTTCTGACTCTTAGTCCAAAGCCTTTTGATGCTGGATACTTTCATATAGACATGAGGAAGGATACCCTGACCGGGCGCTCAGAGATAGTAAGCCAGTTCTGTCCACTCTGTGCTGCTGGGATCAGGAATTGATCTGGCAGGTTTTTCTGGGTGAAGAGACCTTCTTCCTCTCTCCTGGGGCAGAAATAATCTTGGTTATCCTCACCTTACCCTCTGGGCCAGGTTGGGACAAGGGAGCAGCAGTGAGTAGCACAGCACCACCCGCCAGAGTGGTGCACTTAGATTTGACACAGACACAGGCAGATGCAGGGCTTTCTCTCCCACTCTTCCCTTGGGCGCTTCCTTGTGGCTCACTTGAGGTTACACATGGAGCAGCTGCTGTTATTTCTAGGTTTGGCTAGGCACCCAGGAAGTGGGCAGGCTGCGAGGATATCCTTAATATCCTGGGACTTCTCTTGCAAAGGTCTAAGCTGATGGTCACAATCTACTGAACGACCTTATCTGGAATTAGTAGCTGTGACGCAGTCGTGGGGAGTTGTGTGAGCAAGGAAGCAGTATGGACTCCTTTGATAGATGGGCTGGAACTGAACTCACTAAGCTTTCGTAAGCATCCTCGTACCGCACCTGCTCTCCCCTTCCCTCATCAGCACTCTCGGTAGGTGGAAGCGCTGTTTGTTTTAAATTATGAGATAGCTATTCTGTGGTTTAATTACCATATTTTATTTTACTCCTTTATTTTGTCATGAGCTAGCCCTGGTAATATACACTTCATTCACCTAAGTTTATATCAAACAAATCCAACAAACGTGTCTTTTGTTTGTTTTTTATTATTTATTTAATAGAGAAGCTGTCCACCTTAATCTAGAGGAGGGCGGACCAGGCATGGGAGAAAGGGGCAGAGAAAGGGATGGATCTCTGGTTTCTTAGCCAGGCCAAATATCTTTCGAAATTTGTTTTGCAAAATACTGCTGTCATTGATTCTGATCGGTTTTGTGTCTCCTGCTTCTCAAGTCACTAGAACTGTGGCCCTCTAGTGGGGAAGGGAACATCTTGCTCATTTTTGCCAGTCATACCCAAGTCTTGGGAAAACAAGGCACACCTGATAGTAGAGAGAAGTGGGACGCTGTCCATTCTTAAGTCTGGTGTTCAGAGGAATTTCCTGGGAGCTTTAAGTGTGGACCCAGGAAGGGAAGACTGGGGTCCAGAGGGACAGGGCCAGAAAGAGGGATATGGGTGTGGGGTAGGGGCTAACTCTTCTACCTCTCCTTGACCTAAAATTCTTACAGAAAGATGCAAATAGTTCATCCAGGCTGATCCCGTGCACTTATCATGGACCCTGAAGGAGTCACTCCCCTGCCCTCGTCCCCCCTTCTCTACCCCCACCTCCTGGGGAGTATGTCCCATCTCTTGCCCAGCAGGATGCAGCACACACATGGTCCCACTCCCTCACCTCAGCTCATGCCTCTTCTCTAATGTGCCCTAGAGCTGTGTTCAGTGTTGACTCAAGAGCAAGGCCATCCCTATGCTGTATCTCCCTTCCCAAATCTTGGTCTCTGATCCCAGTTCACCACTGTAAACAGTGCAAAGGTTTACTAAAGAGGCAGGTTGTGTTTGTTTGAGGATACTAAAGCAGGCATTGTAGCTTCAGCGTCCTCATCGCAGTTGAAAAGTCAACAGCTGATGGCCTTAGGACCACCATTGGGTCGTGCCTACAGAGTCCAGGACTAATAGAAAACACACCTGTCTCAGTACTTGGCAGATCATCTAGGCAACAAACCAACAGAGGAACAGTTAATCTATCAGATGGAGAGAACAAATCTATGGTTATGAGAGGGGGGAGGGGGAGAGAGTGATTGGATAAGGGGCATAAAGAATAAGTATGGTTTGTAACAATGAATATGCCAATAAAAAATTTTAAAAAAAACAAGAACAAAGCACAAGTCAATATATACTTTCCAATAATTTTTTTGTTTTTATTATCAATTGACGTTTTAAAAAATACAGAGGTGTTTGACACAGAATAGCA